CGGGAGCTGCGCTGTCGCCCGCGCTGCTGCTGTTGCTGCTCCTGCTGCCACCGCCGCCACTGCTGCTGGGAGGCCTGTGGGCGGCGGGCACGCCAGCACCAGCCGCGCCTGGGGCTCCGCAGGAAGGTGCACTGGGCACTGGCCGCGTGAAGCGCGGCTGGGTTTGGAACCAGTTCTTCGTGGTGGAGGAGTACACGGGCACGGAGCCCCTCTATGTGGGCAAGGTAAAGTGGGACCCTGCACCGCTGTCCGGGGCCCAGGACCCTGGAGACACCCATTGGTAGACGCAAGGGACCCCAGTTCCCCTACCGGATAACTGCCTGGTCTCAACTGCCTTAGCGGGGAGGAGGGGTACGTGGGAAGGAGGGAGTGAAGGGGGCGGGGTGGCAGACAGCAGGGTCCCGCACTCTCCCTTTTCTTCTCTGCCCCACGCCCTTCTCTCGTCCCTCTTCCTTGGAGTCTTGGAGCACAGAGTGCTAGGAGGTAAGCCAGTCCATCTTGTAGCTAGATGCATCTAGAATGTAGAAACACATTTGCCAATCTGAACATCCCACACATACTCTCTCGACTCTGCTTAAAATGCTTCACAAGCTTCCCATGCACTTGGGGACAAACCCAAATCCTACCCCACTACCTACAAAGATCGGCTCCCTCTCTGAGATTCAGCCCAGGGCCCTGGGGCCCCAAGCACTCCTGACACCCCCACCCCATTCCTGGGTTGCCTCCCCTGAACTGCACCCCCTGCTGCTCCTATGATTACTGTGTACTCACACTCAGCTCTCTGCTCAATGGCCACTTCCTCAGAGAGGCGGCCCCTCCCACACCAGCGAGGAGAGGTCCCTGTCTGTGACCATCCCTCCCTGTGCCCTGCCCTCCCACGTGAGGTACCTTTCCTTCATGACACTTCATTATGCAAGTGTTTGTTTGATTGTGCATTTACTGTGTCGCTCCTCTTAGACTGTGTTTGTTCTGCTCCCCATGAAATCTCCAGTGCTTAATGCAGACATTGCTCACAAACTGTTGAATGAATGAATGAATGAATGAATGAATGAAAGCTATTTTCTCAAACTCTGATGGTTAATGTGGCTGAAGATCTGTGCCCAAGGAATATAAGGAGCTCAGGTCTTTGTTCACCCGTTCAATGCCTAAGCCTCTCATACTTGTGATGCTGGAGAGGCAGAGGCAAGTAATAGTAGGATCCCGCCTCTGCCGTTTGGGGGCTCCCCAGAGTGGCAGAGACAGCCTGGTGCATAAAAAACTTCACAGGGCAGCACCTGGCACTGAGTAGGCATTCAATAAATAGTATCTGTTGGCTGGCTTTCTAGAGGAGAAAGCACCTGAGCTGGGTTTTGATGTGCAGGTAGGAGTTCATCAGCCTGGGAAAGAGGCCATAGCCTATGCAAAGGCTTGGAGTCCTGAAGGAGCCCGGCCTATGAGTCCTCTAAGTTTGGAGACTTGTCAGTAGCTGAGGTGTTGAGGTGGGGGTGCTTGTAGGGCATGACAAACAGAGTGGTCCCCAGGGAGAGTTCCCTGGCCTCTGCTAAGGCTTTCCAGGAAGTTTTGATCAGCAGAGATGGGGGAGACCAACTCTGAAGTTTCCTGTGTGTTGAGATATGGGTCTGAGAATTGGGAGACTGACAGGCCACTCAGTTCGGGGCCCAGGGATCAGGACCCCAGACAAGGACGGGAGGAAAGCCTTGATAGTAATCTTTCCATTTGCCGGGCAGGAGACCCAGGTTTTCTCTCATCTTGACAGTCATCCCTGGTCCATGGCTACTTTCCCCCTCCACACATGTGGCTGGAGTTGATCCGCGCAACTCAGCAAATGCGGATTTGACAGAGAGAGCTCGGAGGGGCTCATGTCCTTGCTCAAGCCAACTAGTGGCAGAACCAACAGCTCCTGACTCCTAGCCAGGGCAGTGACATGGTGGGTCTGGTAGAATGGGGTGAAGGGATGGGGAAAGAGGAACCGGTGCCAGCTGGACAGTCGCTGATGGTGAGGCAGCCAAGAACACGGGCTTCGGAGCAGACACACCTGGCTCTGCCAACCCATGAACCACATTACCTTAACCAAGTCACTTCACCTCCTGGACTCAGCCTCCTCATCTCTAAGAGGGGCTAAGGGAGCTGGCTTCCTAGGCTTGTTGAAAGGATTAAAGAAGGACACTGAGCGCATAATGTGTTGCCTGCAGCCTGGTTGCTTGTTCATTGTTTCTTTTTCTTTCCTATATGAAGCACTTCACTCTTGAACTGCAAGATAGAAGTCATTGTTCCCTTACGTAGGCAAGGAAACCGAGGCTCGGAGAGGGCAGAGTCCTAGAGGGGCCAGGTGGCTCGGCCAGGATTCGAACGTGTGTGGAGGCCCGTCCCAGCTGGATTCTCCAACCCTCTCTGAACCCTCCAGGCCTGGGAGAAGGGCTTCGGGGAACCCCAGAGAGAAAAGGGAGGAGTCTGACACATCTGCCTAAATGTCAGTGGGGGTGGCCTCAGGCACCCCAGCCTTGTTGTCTGCCCAGCAGCTGGGGCTCTGAGAAGGCCTCCGCAGCCCAGCCGCCCACAACCTGAAAAGATCAGAGAAACCGCTGACTCACCGCTGCACCCATCCAGCCATACCATCATCTCAGTGGCATGGGCCAAACCCCACCCATCTCCTGGAACCGCGGTCTGTCAGCGATGGGAGGGCCCTAGTCAGTTCCTTCATTATAAGGGGGGGAAACAGGCCAGAGGCAGGGAGTATCATGCCAAGGCCACAGCAACACAGTGACAGAATCAAGCCATTGACCAGATCTCTGACACCAGCTCCCGGCCCCAGGGGGTTTAACTGTTCTGTATGAACGTCTATTAAGATGCAAGCATTGTGCCCAGCCAGGGGTGTTCGTCTCACAGCAACCTCTCCCAGCATCCCTACTGCTGTCATAACTATTCCATCCAACCCCTTTGTCATCTGCATCCAGAGCCCCTCCTCGCTTGCTTTCAAGGCCACCTCCAGAAAAGCACCCTGTGCAAGGAGGAAAGAGAACGGCCATCTGTTTGCAAACATTTGCCCGAAGCTCACTTTCTGTGGAAGGTGGTGCAGTGTGTGGTTCCGGGGGCCAGTGGGAGCCAGACTGCCAGAACTCAAACCCATGCTCTCCGCTCATTATCTCCAACCGTGGGCACGTAGTTTAACATGTCTGTGCCTCTGCTTATCTGTTGAGTGAGGGCCTAACTAGCACCTCCTCAAATGGCTGTGATGAGGGTTCAAGTGAGTCAGCATATGTCAAGATCCTGGCATGTGCTCAGTATGCGCTTTTATTATCACAGGGCTCACCCGATATTTCCACCACGTTGAGAAAACCATCTACACGGACACTACACACCCTGCTCTAAACGCTGAAAGCCTCTTCGCCACCTACGTTCTGGTTTCTCACCAGAGCGGGGGCAGGTGGTCTCTAGCTCACTCCTCAGGGAATATGAGCTTGGGCTTTTAAAAGCCCACCTGTCCCCTTTCTAGTCAAATCCCGTGCTTGTACAAGTGGTTGTGTGCATGCGTGCACACACACTCTCACATACACACACACACATGCACGCGCGCACACACACACACACAAACACTCTCACGCTATGCTCTCTTGCTCTTCAGGGAGAAAGGACTTCTCCACAGTTTCAGTTAATTCACTGCTTCCAGGTCCCCTGCCCCAGGGAGCCACTGGGAGCATCTGTCCTTGTCGAATTCCAAAGGTAGCTTAGCAACAGCACCATCTCCAGTGAACCCTGGCCCCCACGGTAACCTATTTTACAACCACCTCCTCCATCACTCACCGCCAGGTTCCTGTCAGCACCCGCAGGAAGCACTGGGCTCGAGGTTGTCACCAAAGCCCCACGCAGGCATCTCCCTTCGCTGTCCTGCCCCCTTGGCAGCCTAGCCCACCTCTTCCACTCACCTTCTCACAAAACCCACCCTTAAAGCAACCTCCCAACATTTCCATACAATCTGGGTACGTTGACTAATCCCTTTCCCAAACTGTAATTTCCCCGGAGGCCTCTGTCAGTTGGATGTGGATTTTGTAGGGTTTTTAATTCTTTTTTTTAAAAAGCTAGAATTATGGGGTCAGCCCTTATGACCAGCTCCTGTGGGCAGTGAGATCTATTTTAGATATACAGCAGGATTAAAGTGGGAAGGAGAGCAGATTTAATTAAGTTGCTAATATTTAAAGAAAATTGATGAACTCCTGGTTTACGAGTAGCACAGGCGTGAACAGACCCCTTATTCTGGGAGAGGCTTTTTATTTGATTTGCTTTCCGTTTAAATCCTGGACTCGTTTTATTTGCGTAGCTGCACTGTCCATTTAATTGTCTTTAATAAGGAAAACGTACCTCTGCTCGCATTTAATTTTGATTTAATTAGGAGGAAGTAATTAATGGCCTCATAAATCCAGCTTTTCAGCCCCCCCGGGTGAGAAGCACTCACTCTTATGTTTGTGTGTTGTTTATGATCTGAGGCTGGGATTGGGGAGAGGCAGTCTCCTCCTGGGCTATCCACACTCGATGCAATGGAAAGAACCCAGGATGGGGAGTCGGACAGGCCTTGGGGCTGCCTCTTGTTAGCTGTGACCTTAGGCCCTCTCTGGGCCTCAGTTTGCCAATCTATACAATGGGGAGAGAGTAATCTCTAATTCACAAGATCACTATGAGATATCAATGAGGTCATGGTCAAGGGTCTGGAAGTGTGCCCAGTGACTCCCCTCCCTAGTCTAGCTCGTGTGTACCTGTGATTTAACAGTGATTGGACCTTGCAGAAAGCCTAGAAGACATCGGGGAAGTCTAATGACAGCTGTTTATTTCATTATTCATTTATTCAGTGTGTTTGGTGTTGTGCCCTGTGCCGGATGCCAGGGAGCTAGAAACAAAGCCATATGCTTGACCCTCAAGGAGCTCAAAATCTCACTCTCATGTGCATACACACAGACACATTCCACTTTCCCATCTATCTGTATTTTCTCTGCAGGCATTGCCAGACACTAGTTTGTGCCAGGCCTGGGGAGTTAAGACAGAGAGCAACCAGTTAGTCCATGCCCCTGAGGCCCATGACAGCTGGGGAGACCGATATGCAGCATTGAGGTGTTACAGAGGAGTGTGCATGGGACAGGGGGACAAGGCAGGGTGAGGGTTCTGCAACCAAATTGGAGGGCATCTGAGAGGACCAACTGAAGGAGGAAACAAGCTGAGTTTAAAAGACTCCAAGCAAATATTGCATGATGGCCCCTATATCTCCAGTGGGTCAGGATTTGAGGGTCGCTCAAATCCTCCTGAGACTAGGGTGGGAAAGGGAAAGGAAGTGAATTTGCATTGAGCACCTACTATATGCCAAGAGCTTCCACATATGATCTTATGAATCTTTGAAATTTATGGAAAGATTAAATCAGCCCAATGTACAGATGGGAAAACTGAGGCTCAGAGAAGGATTGCCTCTTACCCAGGGTTATGCAACACGTCAGTGACAAAACAAGCTGGCACCCAACAAATCCTAAAGCCAAAGCTTGTCACCTTTCCTAACTTGTGATTCGAAGTCCTTTTCCAAATGATGAAATAGAGGCTCAGACTGAAGAGGCTGCCAATGACTCTGGCCTGCCAAGTACAGGGCAAAAAGACGGGCGTCCGGGCCTCCCCGCAAGCCGTGTGGCCCAGCGACTGCCCTGCAGCCCACTCCCTCCTCCTTTGTCCCTCTTCCTCAGCCAGAAGCATTGTAAGTGGACTCACCAGATCCCCAGAGGCTGCAGGGGAACCAACCTGTGCTTAGGAGTCAAACAGATCAGGGCCCATCTCCATCTCTTCACCTGGAAAACGGGGTGCATTTATGTACCCCATAAAGTTAAATCCATTACTGCGGAGGCCTGCAACACCAGCACATGTCTGACATGTAGCAGGTGATCGATAAATGAGAGCACCAGCCTCCAGCCTCCACTCACAGCTGGAAGTCTTGAGAAATGTCCTTCTCAGGTGGGGCCACAGGCACTCCCTCCTTCCCCACTGCAGAGCAGGGCCAGGCAAGCAGGGCAGGCAGCCCCAGACCAGCCGGAATCCTCAGCCCCTAGCTCCTGCCTAGGCTGACCAGCCCTGTCTGACTCTGCAGTCCCCAGAGGGTAGCCGCTGGGCCCCAGCATGAACTCTGTGTCATTCTTCATGGAAAAACATTGATGACATCACCCCTGAGTTCCACTGATCCCTGTCCGGGGTCTGAGTGAAATGTCAAGGGCTGCAGGGACATGAGGAAGACCCAGGAGAAAGAAAGAAAGAGAAAACAGCCATTTATAGTGTTTGGGTCATTACATGTTCTCATTTAAGCCTCACCACACCTGCACCAGGCAGGGCTGGTTCTGATTTCTCGGGGTGGGGGGGTTGGCGGAACGAGCTCAGAGAGGTAAAATTAACAAGCCCGTGGTCACAAGTCATGGGATCAGGGGCTGGCTCCCCCTGTCTGTGCCTCAGTTTTCCTATCTGAGAAATGGAAGAATAATAGTGTTCCATGTGGCAGTGATGAAAACGAGTAAGATGATAGCTGTTAAGCATCCCCCCAAATGGTAGGGAACTGTAGGCACGCCTTGTTTTATTGAACTTCACTTCACAGATGCTGGTGTTGGTGGGTTTGTTGTTGTTGTTTTACAAATTGAAGGCACGACCCTTCACCAGCAAAAATATATGATTTGCTTTATTGCAATACTCACTTCATTGTGGTGTCTGGAACCGAACCCGCAATGTCTCCGAGGTATGCCTGTATTCTGCTCACTGCTCAGGAACGTTTGCTGATAAAGTAAGCAGGTGCCAGGTCTGATTGGAAAGTGGGTGCAGGCACTCTAAGATGGAACAGGTCCCCCCTCTCCTGTGGCCATGTCCCCTGGGCAGATGTGGAGGAAAAGCATAAACAGCAACAGGAGAGACAGGTCTCCGCATCCCGGCACTGCCAATGATTCAGGGCCGCCGTTCTGAGATAATTTTATGGGGGGCATTAAACTGAGTTATGAGGTTTTTACAATCCAGCCACTTATGAGAAATCTATTAACAGTAACTGGACAGGAAGAAGGCTTCTTGGTGGAGCCCAGGACAGGCATTAATTGGGGCAATCTATAACAGGATGGGGACCCAGAAAGGTTCCACCCGCCGCCTCCATTTACTCCCCGCAATTTCTGCTGAGAATCAGCAGACTCGCCAAAAAGAGAGAGATGCCCATTAATCGGCTAATGAAATATGAAAATGTTTATGGGCCATTCAATCTTCCAAATGGCACTTCTATAATCCACCTTTCAGACACAAAGTTCCACCAGCAGAATTTATTCCCCGCCTCCTCCTGCATGGCCGGGGCTGGGCTTCCGTCCCCCTCGGTGATGACTTCATTTGGCACCTTTATCCCACTGAGTGGGCTGGGGGACACGGGGTCCTGGCCAGACAAGGGACTTGGGGATTCTCTCCTTCACCCCCCATCTCTGTGGAAGCTCAGCGAGGAGTGGGGACCACCCCAGGTCACCGCTTCATTAGATGCATTTGCCTCTGCTCAGAGCTGCCTCGGGGATTGGAGCATTAGGGGATAAGGACTTCGGTGCTTCTCTTTGGGAGAACAGTCTGCTGGCTGGTTGCTTGCCCACAAGATCTCCATGCAGAGGAGAGAGGCTGGGATCTGGAGCCTAAGAGGGCCTGGACTAAATCCCAGTTATATATGGCCAACATTTTGTAATAACATAATAATACGATAGCGACCATTTACTGGACACTTATTATGTCTCAGGCGGGGCTGATTTTCAGTTCGCACATGCCAGTGTGGTTGTGCTGGCTGTTGAGATAGTGACAAAGCTCCCTGCCTGCGACAAACAGCCTCTCTCCTCTCCCTCGCCCCAGCTCCCTCGGCCCCTTGAACCTCTCTGTGATCTAGCAACCTCACGGCTCCTGCCTGGCCCCGCAGGGCCCTCCTGTGGTACCACTCCTTGGACAGTGTCCCTGCCGTGCTGGCTGTTAAATACTGTGTCATGTGCCAGGCAGGTGCTAAGGGCCTTGTGTGATTTCAACTCCACTATCCCCCAACACCTCTAGGAGAGGGGTGCTATTAGATCCCATGTTACAGAGGAGGCAACTGAGGCCCAGAGAGGGGCAGAGGCCACACAGGGAGATGCTGCAGCAGCCAAGGCCAGGCTGTAAGGCCGCTTCCTCCACCCGGGCTCCTCCCTGGAGGCTCGAGGATGGAGTGAGAAGGCCAGGCTGTGGACCAGTCCAGTTCCTCCAAGGAGCAAATTATCCCATTTCTCCAATTCTCCATGGGAAACTAAAAAAAAAAATAAAAAAAAATCTATAATATCTGTAGCAAAACCTACTCAAGTACTATTTTTTTCTATAAAGAACCCTGAACTAGATAAATATGTAAATTGCTTAGCATGGTGCCTGGCACATAGTAAGTGCTCCTTCAATTTGCATCCCCTTTTTTCCCTCTCTCCCTTCATGCCCTGTCCCCCTCATGTGCCATGCCCTGAGGCTGGCTCTCCAGATGTGAGTAAGGAGTAAGATACCAGCCCTGGCCTCTGGGGGCTCAGAGCCTGAGGAGATTGGACAGCAGCTTGGAATCCTATTAGAAATGCTAGCTGAGGCCCCACTCCCAGACCTACTAAGTCAGAATCTGCATTTTAACAAGATCCTCAGGTGATTTGCATGCACATGAGGCTGGAGAAACACTGGCTACAGCCATCCCACAAGCTGGACGTGATAATGATGGCTGATGTACTGAACTGCAGAGGTCGTGGAGGGGATGGGGACGGGGATCCAGAAAAGCTTGGGGAAGAGGCGGCATTGAACGGAGCTGCGCTGCGGGAGGAGCAGAGTTTAAGTAAGCAGAGAAGTGAGGACAAAGTGCTCAAAGAGGAGCCCGTTGGTGTGGAAGTGGTTCTGGGCTGCTTTGTAAAGGCAACGGGGAGCCATGGGAGAGCTGCAAGCAGGGAAGGGCGTGTTCAGATCTGCCTCCGAGGCTGAGCGGTCCAGCTGCAGAGTGAAAGGTAGATTATCGGGGCAGGGCTGGAGCAGGGAGGGCTGCGGAGGGCTGGTGAGGCCCAGGCAGGGGTGAGGCATGGCTCCCCAGGCCTGTGTTTTTATTGAAGGATGGGTGTGTTAAAGAAGGGACATCTTAGGAACAGGCCCCTGTGGGATTCCCAGGAGGAGGCTGAGAGGAGCTTCCTCCCCCACCTCTACCCTGTCTTCCTCCCTGCCTCTCCAGATCCACTCGGACTCCGACGAGGGTGATGGGGCCATCAAGTACACCATCTCGGGTGAGGGCGCAGGCACCATCTTCCTGATCGATGAGCTGACAGGTGACATCCATGCCATGGAGCGGTTGGACCGTGAGCAGAAAACCTTCTATACGCTGCGGGCCCAGGCTCGGGACCGCGCCACCAACCGCCTGCTGGAGCCCGAGTCGGAGTTCATCATCAAGGTGCAGGACATCAACGACAGCGAGCCCCGCTTCCTGCATGGCCCCTACATTGGCAGTGTGGCCGAGCTGTCCCCCACAGGTGGGCTGCGGGACCCTGGGGGCCGGGGTAGGCCAGGGTGAGGGGGAAGGGGAGCTGCCAGGTTCTGAGTGGGAGCCCGCCGTGGGGGGAGTGGCTGATACTGCGGGGAGGGGCAGGAATGACAGGATCTGCTACCCCAGGGCAAAGGGTACTGGTGTGAGCCAGGTGACCACAGGCTCGGGCATAGACCTGGGCACAGTCACAGAGGCATGCATGTGACCTCAGGCACATCCATGGACATAGTCCCCACATGAACATAGATCTCCATGTGGACTCAGACACACACTCGGACATGGTCTTACACCCACACATAGACCCAACCTCACATACCAGCTCAGCTGTCCACCATACCCAGTCCTTCACCAGAGTTGAACTCCACACACACCGTACAGCCCTTGGTCACAATCCCACCCACACGCAGGTACAGCAGGACACAGGTACACCTACAACCAAAGACAACCAGAGTGGGACACAGCCGAAACGGACCAACCACACAACCAGACACAGCCAAACACCCAACATAGCCACATACAACCCCACCCAGGAAACAGCCCTTTGCACAGATGGAGCTTATGCCCAGACACAGTCACCTACACAAACACAAGAAATAGCCACACTGAGTGTTACCATCCTGGGCCCACTCCGCCAGAGGGTGGCCGTGGACAGGCCCAGCACAGCCAGGTGCAGCAGCATTCAGACGGCTCCCTTCACTGCCCTCAGGGGGCCCCAGCGCACCAACATGCAGCCCCCTGGGGACACAGTTCACAGAGACGCTGAGCCCCCAACACAGGCTCAGGTGCAAGTGCCTGGCAGGCCGCAAACACCCAGGGCACTGGGTACGTGTGGAAAAGGGAGCACACACATCACAAGTCCCACCTGCAAGAAGACCTCAGACTTGGCCACACCAAAAGCACATTTGCCCAGCAGGGAGCACTGAAGCTAAAGGTTGGATGGATCTGCCCTCTCCTTCCATGGGGCCCACATGCAGGTGGCTGACCACCAAGGCTCCACTTGGCCTAGGGCTCCTCGTAAAGCC